GTTAGTGCGCTTCGGGATTTTGACGTCGACTCTCTCGCTCTCGCTCGACCACTCTCACTCCCACTCTCTCGCTCAAGGCTTAGAGAAGTGGCAGTCCAGGCGAGGCCTCCATCTTTGTCCAAGTCTCTGGCGGAGTCTCCATTTCTCCAGAGTTGCTACAGCTCCAGCTCTCAGCTTCTTGAGCCTCTTGAGTCGCTCTGGCACCTCTTGTGCTCCTGCCACCAATCTGGGGCATACACCCGCGCACACTTTGGCAACACAGCCCCGTGCGCCCTGCCCGGAATGTCGTCTTAAGTTGCATTCCTTTCTGCAATTGTTCCTTCTGCTGTGTGGGGCCGGATGGAGGGGGAAGGCCTTTTGCCTTTTGTTTTGTTTTGTTCTGCAACATTTTTACACGAAAAAGTCATTTGAATATGCGTTTGCCGCCCTGCCGCCACCCCTGCCATCCATTTCGATGGAGGGATTGAAAGTTTTGTTAGCCGTCAGCTACTTTCATTCGTTGCTGTCGCGCTGCCCCCCCCCCCCCCCCCCCCCCCCCCCCCCCCCTCGCACCCAACCCATCACTCTTTCTGTGTAAGGTTGAGGGCATGGCTTGCGGCTGGCTTTCTGTTGCTCTTTAGAGCCGACGAATAGACAATATAATGTTCCACTTCCCATTTTCAGCCTTGACTTGAAACTTGCAGCAGTAGAAATAGACAGGAGAAGGGGGTGCAGAGGGGTAGCTGCCTGAGCAACACAGAGACAATTGTTTTCTTACTTCCGCTGTGACTCTTCAAGAGCAGTTCTCTCAGTAGTTTCTCTCAGTCGCATGAAAAAGTGGCAAGGGAGCTGCTCAGGAGAGGTCGACAGTGCAGCACAAGAGTTTTGTGGCAATTAAAATGGTGAGGGTTGAGGTAAGGAGAGGGCAGGGTTCATCAGGGTTTAGCTGCCAGTTGGGAGAAGCGTCTTCAAAATGTGCATACCAAATGGTAAGGAAAAATATCAAAGAAGAAACCAATGACCAATAAGCAATACAAATTGTTCTCCTCCCTTTCGTTGCCTTTACTCTAACCAAAAGCGAGAGAGAGACAGAGTGAGTGAGGCAGAATCTTCAGTTAGATTTGCCTGGCGGTGGAATGACATCAACAGCAGCATCCCAAGCCATCACGTGAGCATCCTCGAGCCCAAAGTCCTGCTCCCTTAGCTGCTTGGACATATGTTTGTGGCGGACTTTGCCTCTAATATTGTTAGCTGTGTATGGCGCCCCTAAAGGCAAATGTTGCGATTACCAAAGCAGACACAAACACACACGGACATGGCAGCAGCAGCAGCAGCAGCAGCAGCAGCAGCAGGAGTCTGGGGCATGTGCCGCTTGCAACACCTTGATAGTTGAACTTTGACCGTTTTTGGTAACTCATTTAGTGAGATTATTTACGGTAATCCAAGACGCATGAAGCCAACCGCCGGAACTTAGCTGTAGAGACAGAGAGACAGGCAGGACGCTGCTCCAGCTATGCCCTGCAGCCTGCAGCCCCTGCCACTGCCTCACCAGTGTGTGTGTAACTATGTATCTATCTCTGTATTGGTTTTTGCTAAATTGTGCGTAAGCTCAAGCAGCACTAAAGTTGCTCTGGCTCAAGCTGCAAGCTCTCTGCTGCTGCTGCTGCTGCTGCCTCAATTCAAATAACACTTTTATTTTGCTTTTAGCAGCAGCTCCCCCTGTGTATCCTGCGTGTGTGTGTGTGTGTGTGTGTTGGCCTCCTCCGATTTGTTTTGGGTACGTGTCTGCGGTGTTTTGTATGTGTTACATGATTGCCACGACCCCCGCCTTCGCCAGCAGCAGCAGCAGCAGCAGCAGCCCCACACAGCATGCCTTGCCTTGCCTCTGGCTGTGGCTCACCTGTCGCAGCCTCACCTCACCCTTTTTTTTTGTTGCCACAGGTTGAGCCAAGCAGCAGCAAGCATCATCCTTGGCTTGTGTGTGCGTGGCGCTCATTAGCATTCTGAAACGGCTTTATAAAATTCAACAAGCAACCCAAGTTGCATGTACACACACACACACACACCACCCTCAGAGGGGGGTAGGTGAAGGGAAAAGGAAAACCTGAATGTCTCTGCATTTCTCTCTGCTGCTTACCCGCTCTCTCCTTCTCACACACACAAAATTCTGTTGTTATCCAGCGAGCCTTCGCTCTCTTTCACTCTTTCGGTTCCTCGTTTTTGGGGCATGTGGCACGGGGGGTGGTGGCACAGTGGAAGGGTCTTGTCTGCCTCGAGTTGCATAAATTGAATCTGAATTTGTGAGTAAATTGCACACAGGAGACACATTATTTTTGAGTTTTGCCTTTTAAATTTGTGGCTTTTCACTTTGAGAGTCTTTCTCTCTCTCGCTCGCTCTCTCTCTCTCTCTCTCTCAGACCCCCTGTCAGTGCAGTCCCGTATCTCTAGAGCAATTGCAACAATCTCTGTCCTCAACTTTGTGGCACTTTCCCTCGACCTGCTGACTGTCCTCCTGCCTGCCTGCCTGCCTGCCTGCTGCAACATTTTGTGCAATTTTGTGTGACCCACTTGAACATTGGATTGAAGTTACGCCTACTGCCCTTAGAGTCGACATTCCCCCCCTATAAAATACACCCCCTTACCAAGTCTTCTAAGGGGTGTACAAAAGTCTGCTACTGCCGTTGGTGGGGATCCCCCATTTAAATCAATATTAATAGGTGCACGAAGGAGAAGGCCTCTTTTTTGCTGCGCAAATTGCACATTGCAACACACACACACACACACAATACACACACAAATTGTTGTTCGATTCAGAATCGAATGTTCTATAAATATCACGATAAAATGTTTATTTAATGCGAGAATATCGGAGTACCAGACAGTGCCCCGTGCCGTGGCATTGCTGCCAACCAGCAGCTGTACAGGAATCCAGAGAGCAGCTACAAAACCCTCCCACCGGAACTACAATAATAATAATAATGACTCCTCGATACTCGTTACTCGAAATGGCAGGCAAAATGTAAAGAAAAATCATTGGCAAAAAAAGGATTTTCCTTTTCTGCCATTTTTCCCATATGCAAATTGTTTTTATAAATTTCGCAAACAAAAAAGGAAATTTGTTCTTGTTCAAGGATTTGCTGGTGTAGGCAATAAAGCCAAGGAATGTTGCTACACAGCGAGAAAGGGGGAGTGGGAGTGGCAGCTTAAACAATGATTAAGTGTGGCACAGCGTTTAGAGAGAGAGAGAGAGAGAGAGAGAGATTTAGGGGCTTTTATAGTGGAAGGAGAATTGCAGCAGTGAGCCAAGAGTGTTTGTTGGAGATTAGAAAATATATCTAGAGCGGCAGAGAGAAAGATTTGGAATAGTTTCCAAAAAGGGGATAATGGAACAAAAAATAATTATGGTGAGCCAGCTCAGGAATGAATGGTTAGAAAATACCATGAGCTGCTGCATGGGAGAATCTTGTATAGAAAGTCTCTCTGCCGACCCATAGATACACATCTTTTAATGATCAAATATCTCAAATTCGAACCCCTGTCTTGCTTTATAACTGTATCTATTTCACCTACTTCGGCTAGTTGAAGGTTTCTTTTGCTTCCCAGAATCCATGGTAATTCCTTTCATTTTCCACAGCCATAATTGATGTGTAATTTTCCACTTTTCCAGCAGCAAATGGCATGTCTTTTAATAAAGGACCAGGGCATATCCTACTTATATCATAGTAATTTGAGTACCAGCAGCAGTTGACCATTTAGTGCCCTAAGGACGGGGCGCAGGACTGTTAAGGGTACAGTGCCATGCCACACCGTGACCTTGCTGGGGCATGGCAACCAGAGAGCCATAGTAGCGTAGTGGCAACATGGAATCAGTAGCGTAACAATTGCCACAATTGCAATAGAATCGTCGTTAATTACTGTCTGTGCTTGCGGTTGCTCTTCTTTTGCCTTTAGCTCCTGAATAAGGATTTTGCCAGGGATCAGGGTTGACTGCTTGTCAGGGGGGGATGGGGTTGGGGGTTGGGGGTTGACACGATTGGGCTTAAAAGAGCAAGACAAATACGAGCATGTGTCTGTGTCTGCTGGGGCTACGGCCTGTGCGGTGGTGCGTCTGAAAAGGAAGAGGCCAGGAGGAGATGCCTCGTTAAGCGTTGCTGCCAAGTGGCAAAACTCAAATAAACATAAACGTGCCACACACACACACACACAGACACACACACACAATAAAAAGGGGGAGTGTGGCAGGTGGGGAGGTGGTGGAGCGACAGCCACAGCCAAAAATCTCTGAACTCGGTTTGTTGTCTTTTTTGCTGCTGCTGTCTGGCTCTTGGATTGTGCCTCTGACTCTCTGCCGCTGCCACATTTTGGCTCTGGTTTCTGCCGCTGACTCTCGGGGTTTTGTGTGGCTGGCATGGGAGACTCATTAAAATGCAGTGCGAGATAATAAGCATTTTAATTAAATATTTAACAAGAATAAGTTTATCACAACACGAAAGGAACACAGAAAGAGAGAGTGAGAGAGAGAGAGCGGGGCAGGGGGTGGGACAGGGAGAGGGAGTGTAATGGCTTGTAAGCGTCTACCGTTAGCGGCTTCGAACTGTTCGGCAGGAAACCAGCTACGCTCCTAGCGTCTCCCTCCCTCTCTCTGTTTCTGGCAATATTTTGATGTAATTTGAGCGCCTAATTGGCGCACGTGCTAAACTGACGATGGCAGCAGGTCCCAGGAATACCCCTGGCTAACCCCTTGCCCCACCCCTTGGTTGTCCCTTAGAACTCCGTTGCCGTTGATTCAGGTTCAGTTTCATTTTCAGTTACTTGCCTCTCGAGGACTCCTCTGTCGGCGACGCCGTCTCCTTTTCGGCTGTGCAAATATTTGCAGGAACTTCTCGCTAACATCTCTGCTACCTTTCGCCAGACCAAAGCCTTACCATACCTCACTCTCTCACACTTACTGTCTATATCTATCTTGGCTTTATCTCTATCTCTTTTTATTTTTTGTTGCTTGTATGTTCTTGTCGTTGCAGAGGCTTCGGCTTTGTCACATTCAGCGATCCAAATAGCGTGGATAAGGTACTCACCCAAGGCACACACGAGCTGGATGGCAAAAAGGTAAATGTTTGAATGTTTATAGATGCCCCCTGCATGCCCCCTACCCCTTACTATATGCCTGAGTTATATCCTTATTTTCACTATTTTTCTCACATTTTTTGTTCGTGTGTTCGTGTATTTTGGCATTTGGCAAACAAAAAACTTCCCCACTTGGGGGACAACTATGCTAAATATTTGCTCAAAAGCAGACTCGCGACGTCAACTCAACATCAACATAAATTCGTTCCTCTCTCCATCTCTTTCGCACTGTGCCCTATGGAATGCTCTCTCATCTACTCTTTATTGACAGCAATTAGAAAGTCAAAGCAGAACAGTGTCTCTGCCAAATAAAAACACCAAAAACAACAGCACATTCTACCATAAAAAAACGTTTGCCAAAAAAGGGTAGATGGAGAGGGAGCTGCTGTAAAGGCCAAACAATTTTTAATTACCTGAAAGAGTGCTGGGGGAGAGAGGAGGGACAGTGCAGAACATCAAATGAGCTGGCAAATGTTACTTTTTTCCAACGGGCTGCTTATTATGATTAGCTGATGAAATTTTGGGTGCCAGCAAAGTAGCTTTCTGGCAGTAAAATTCTGTAGTTTTAGGGGCAAAAGGAAGCATTAAAAAAACATTTGCATATTATAGTGCAGCGCCATGAAAATGTGAGAAATTGGGGTTACTTTTTTATGCGACTTTTGAGCTGTTAAATTGCAAAGAAAACTAATCAAGTTTTCAAATTCAAGCTTCAAAATTACTTCAAAATATGATAACTGGAATCTACAGCAGTCTTTGAGTTTGATTCATCAACTAATTTACTTTTTAAATTCATTTTAATTTGTTTTAGGAAATAAATAAGGAATTTTTCTCCACTGAGATCTAAAAGAAAATAGATTAAAAAGATAAAACATGGATATTGTACCCTTTTTTTGTGTTCCTAATGTATTCCCTTTGATGTACAGTTGGAAACCACCTTCCAAATTCTCATGTTTCTGCGTTTCAAGTATCTGCCATGCACAGGTGTACCAAAATCAGTTGCGAAATGCGATACAGACATCGACAAAAAAAAAACGCCTGCTTTTGATTAGCCCGAATGTCCGCCCAAAATCCACTCGTACAGTGAAGACTCGGCGGTAATTGCATTTCATACGCATTACGCATACGCCGCATTGGCATTAGCCTAATTAAGTGAAGCTTCTCTGTCGCTGTTGCTGGACGGGATGTGTCCTTCCAACCGATGTCCATTTGATCAGCCTTTTTGAATGCCTTCCCAGCTGTAAATAAAATGCGCATTCCCCCTTGTCTGTATTTATGTGTGATTTTTGCAAAACTGCATTTACATATAAACATGTATATATGGGAAAATATCTGTTGGATATATCGCATATACTCTTCCCTCTGCCTAGCCCCTGCCAGCTGCTTGCTCTTCTTGATTCTTCACTGGGAATGGTCAGGGATTTTCCTCTGTTTCCGTTTGGCTGCACAGGCAACGAGAACGAAAATGAATTTCATTTCATTTTACGTTACGGTTTTTCGGCCTGATGTATTTTCCACAGAAAAAAAGGAGCGCAGCTACTGGTCCCCCAGTTTTTAGCCACTTTTCACTCTCTCCTCTCGCTCTCTCTCCCACTGGCTGTGTGTCGTGCGGCACTCAACGCTGATTAGTTTTAATTTTAATCTAAAAATCAATTTCCCGCCATGCGGCTGCCGTTGTTTTTCCCGTTTTCTGTTCTGCAACACAGGAAATCAACACGGCAAACACACACACACACCCACACACACAGCCGCTGATTGCCGACTGCCCCGTGCCGCTTGTCCGCCGCCTGCCGCCTAGGTCCTAGTCACATTCGTGTCCTGCGACAACTTTTCATCTGTAATTTCGCCAGAGGATATTGCGTTGCTTCCTTGAGCCCATTTTCCCACTGATTTTCCGCACACTCGCCACCGCCGCCCCCCTTCCTTCATTGGCTTAAGATACTGCAACAGAAGCACTTCAGTTTGGTTGAGATTTAGTCGTAGATCCCAAGGATACAACCCAAGCTCCTGCCCCTGCATTGAACGTAGGATATAGAAGGTGGGGGACCTGTCAAGACGAGCTGTCTCTCAGGCTGCTGTCTTCCCCCACTAATGTGGAAGCCACAAGGAAAAACCTCCAGAGATGGAGAAAAAGGAAGGAAAATCAGAGAAGAAGAGAAAAAAGTGCTTAAAATTGAATTTTTATGATTTTTAATTATTTTTAATGACGCTGCTTATTGGCGTAAGTCGCAAAGGAGAGAAATCTCTGCCGGTTTTGCTCGCTCTCTCTCTCTCTCTGTGGCAGTGTCCTATCCTCCCCCCCGCATGTCTCCCCTTTCCGCCTTTTTGCCCGCTGGCCGAGCAATTTGTTACGCGTTAATTCGTGCGTGCTCAGCTTGAAGAGCCACCCACTGGCACCGCCACTGCCACAACATGGCCATGCGCCCGTCACCCCCCCGCATCCTGCATGCCTTCTCTTTGGGGCAATTTCATTTAATGTGCAGTGCAGGGCTTATGCAAGATTTATGCTACGCTATTAATATGAAGAGTTGCGCGAAATGTTCTTTTCATTTAAATGTCATTAAGCATACGATTTTCTCCTCTCGTCTTTCTCCCCACACAAACTGTCTGTCTCTGTCTCTCCCTCTCCCTCTCTGTTGTCCTTCCTTTGTAGCTACTCCGCACTTTTACTCTATCTCTCTCTTTCTCACATTTGTCTGTCTTTCTGTTTTGCAGGTCGATCCAAAAGTAGCTTTTCCGCGACGTGCACATCCCAAGGTAAGTACCAATCTCCCACCAAAAATACAACAAGATAAAGGTAGCAAAGGCTCTAAAGTCGAATCGTTTAATACACTATAAGAAACATTGATAATGATATTTTTATAAAATTTGTGTGACATCTCTATAGAGACCAAAATGTAGCACCAAAAGATCTTGAAAATACAATAATTAATGAGCCAAAGGGTTCAATAATACTTACATGAAAGCAAATTTTGGTCTGTGAGCAGTTTCAGAGTAAAAGAAACAGGCGTAGACTTTGACTTTGTAGTTGTTGTTTTATTACGTCTCGAGCGGCAGTGATTTTGTTTTGTCTTATCTCTTGATCTTCATTTCGACTACCTCGCTCGCGCAAAGTAAGCGCAAAAACAAAAACAACAACAACAACAGTCGGCTGCGATGCTTGCAATTAGCTTGAGGCGCAAATGGTGGTTGTTTTGGTTTCTCTCTGTCGTTCATGTCCGATCGTGTTCGTTTTGCTTTCGAGCTGCGCTGCAAACTTGCGCTGTTTCAGCAACAACAACGACGCCCGCTCTCAGCAGGTACGGAGCCCACCAGTGTGAAGCGCATACACGGAATATCGAAACGGGACTCTAGTGTGGTGCGTAGATTCTTTCTCTGTTTTGATCCAGATTCTGGCAAACAAATGCTCAAAACCGTTATATTCTCCTGTAAGGGTATAATAATACCGAAGAAATAAAAATAAATAATAAGTAAAATGAGAAACAGAAACAGAAATACCAAAAATGGGACAGGACAGATATTTGTGAGGGAGACTCTTTCAGAATTGAGTTTCTGTGAATGTGGCGGTCGATGTGTGGGTGGGGTGGGCCAAGCCAAAAAGGATGTGTCATAAGTAGCAGTAAATGGCAGATGAAATTAAAAACGGAAGATGACAACAACAACCACAGGAAAAAGCGAGGAAGCACACAACAACGAAAACAGGCTGCAAAAACCCGTGGCTGTGGGGAGGGAGAAAAGAAGATAACTTTGTGTCTGACAGGCGTCGGTGGCTTTGGCTTTCCCTGTCTACAGGACTTTTACCTTCAGCGTCAAACCAAACCCGGGCCACCCGCGGCACCCCACATATTTCTCACCCTCTCTCCCACTCCTTCACGTTCTTAAAGTGATGATGACAACAAAATTTCGCCAAAAAGTGAAGAAGAAGCGTTGTGTGGAGTGCTTCTGTCTGCAGGCAGAGCTTCTGCCCAGTCTTTCCCTTCCTTTTTTGTTTCGTTCTGCCTTTCTCAATTTCTCTCCCACGCACAGTTTGGGTGCCGCTGCTCCCCTTTCTCTTGAGTCCCGGTTAGACAGCGCGTTACAAATGTGCCTCTGGTTTTGGTCGGTTTTTTTTCCCCTCCCTCCTATCTTGAGGCATAAAATACTCTATAAGAGAGAGGAAGCCCTTGGCTAGCAGAAAAAGTAAAACACAAAATGTTATAGGGAAATCACAAACCAAATTAATCAAAAATAATCAATTACTTTGGATAGAAATAAAACAAAAAAAATGTAATTTGGTTTCCGATATTGGTGGCCCATATTTTGATTAGTTTTTTGTTGTATCGTTTAAGCTCAAATTGAGGTCAATATTGGTCATAATTCGATTATAGAAATGATAATTAAACAACACCGAAATGCAGCACATGCAAAGGGCAGGGGCTGGGGCTGGGGGTGTATTGAAGTGAAATTAATTAAATCGAAATTTGTGCATTTTATCGTAATTTGTATACAAATTACTGCAAATGAGCGAGTTATTCATTATTCGACAGAAATGTTAAATTCTGTTATTTGGTGGTTTGGGCATTGATGTAAGGCCTTTTGTTTCTGTTGATTTTAACAAACGAAACGATTTAAATGTCAATAAAGAACCGCTTTGATTCAATTTCCATCGAATCGAATGATCAATATTTCATAACTTCTTCCTGGAATTACGTTACGGAATCCATTTGCAGTCACTGCCAGGAAGTTCTTGGAATTTTTTCTCGTTATAGTATATTCCGCCATTCGACTTGCAATTGGCGATATGAAAGCAGTTTTCCTGGTACAACAAACCGCAGAGCACACCATAATACGCACGCAAAATGGTACTCACGCAGCCAGATACAATCATACACAGAGTTGAAGATACACTCTGAGAAGTCTGAGAAGAAGGAAGCCAACTCGAAGAAGGCACCGACTCCTGGCTCCATCTGCCAGCTCTTCGAATTGCTGCTCCTTCGAATTTCTGTTGCTGCTGCCTTCTGCTGCTCACTCTGTTTCCCCCTTCGTACTGCCCCTTCCTGCTGTGCTATGCGTGCTTATCAACACGCAGCTGATTTCCGTTGCTATTCCAGAGGCGCGTGCCTGGCACCCTGCAACATCCACCGAACCCACTCAGCAGCTTCTCTTCCCTCGAAGGCGGCAGCAGCAGCAGCAGCAGCCAACAATTATTTACGTAATGTTATTATTATAATATTTTTTTAAACGCATTCTCACTGGATTTGCGGTGCGTTACCAAGAAACGACAGCCAGAAGCCAGAAGTAGAATTAGGAGGAGGATGAGAGGAGAGGAGAGGAGAGGCAAGGATAAAGATGAGGCGGCTACGGATGTGGCAAGGATGGGTGGCAGACTAGGACCACGATGGCTATGCGGCATTTGCCGAGTGGCTTTGTGTTTTGTTGGGGGGATTCAGGCGGCAGCTACGCGCGAATATCCTCTCGCATATTAAAAGGCGTTTAAAAACATAAATCCAACGTCTAACGGCTGCTTATGAAAATTACGAGGAAAAAATGACTGACAGAGCGAGAGAGAGAGACAGAGACGGAGACAGGGACAGGCTTAGTGCGAGGCAAATGGCAGAGACACCCAAAGGAGTTTTGCCACGCAGGAGGAAGCAGCAGATGAAAAAAACAGAAACGAAGGAAAGAATGGAAAAGCGGCAAGCGACATCACCAAAAAAGAAGAGCAAAAAACGGCATAGGGAAATGGCGCAAGGCAAAGCGGCCAAAGACGGAGAGTTGGAGCAGGGGGAGGAGGATATGGAGGTAACAGAGAGGACAATTTCTCGCACCGTTTGCTAAGGACGAACCAGAACGAGATGCGAGAAGTAGGCAACGGGAACCAGGACACAAGGATTGCCCACAAAATGTGTCCCCAAATTCCATGCGGTGGCAGCGAAAGTTAAGAGTTGTTCCAAATGAAAGAGAGAGAGAGAGAGAGAGAGAGAGAGAAGACATAATGAAATGAAGCATACTAAATGACGCTGCTCCAAGTTTTCACTAGAGAACGAAGTAGAGTTGGGCTGCGAGCGAGACACACGCATACAGTGCGCGCCATAATGAAATGCGAAAAAATTATGATGATACTTTTTTTTGTGTTGTTTGACCATAAAATGCAGATGAGCCGCCGACTAAGCACAAAATAGTGTGGCAGAGCAGAGTGTGCGCGGGGTATACGGAGCGGAAAGAGGGTGCTAAGTATGCCTCTGCACCTAATCCCCATACCCCGCTGTAAAGGAGCCTTTTCGCTACACATGTCCCATCGAGTCTATTGCCTGGCTCTTTGCGCACTTTTGCGGAGTTAATTTCTTGGCTTTTTAAGCTCCGCACCATGAATATGAAATGTATATGTGTGTATGCTTTATATGTGGCTAAAAAGAGGCAGGCAAAAGTGCCCATGAATGGGCCAGAAGAGAGGGTCGCATGAGGTTAAAAGATAGGCAGCAACGGGCGGCAAAAGGAGGACCAAACATGAGCAGGAATGGAGCATATATGATGACCAGGGGCCATAGTTAGCCACAGCATCAGGGAAAAATAAGACGGAAGAGCCAGCCCAAAAAAAGAAGCCCAAAAGTGGGTGAAGATGGGCTGCTGGGGGCTGCTCCATGCTCCACGCTCCAACTCTGTGTGGCACACATATGTCATGTAAAAAAGTTCGCTTTTAATGTGCAAAATTTTTGTTAGCGCCGACAGCGACGGGGCAGCGGACTAGAGCCATAAAAGTGCATGAAGGAATAAGTGAAATGGATTTATTTTTTTAGGGCGCGCTGTGTGTGTCCTGCCCCATATAAGTGCCACATAAAATAAAGGAATCTACAGAATGCTGGGCATCCCCAGCCCCCAAAAAGCAGATACAGTTTGAACTTGGGGCTAGGATTTATGACTGTTTGTTCCGAACAAAAGAAATCGCGTGTGGGTGGTAGGTCCTTCCGCTCTCTGCCCTTCTCCCTTTCTCCCTGTGTGCGTGCAAGGGAGAAAAAAAAAACGTCGAGTGGAGAAAATCCTTTAATGTCCGAGTTGAGGTGCGTACAAGAGCCTGAGCGTACGTTTTGGGCTCTAAGTGGATTATACGCATAGATTTCGACCAGCCAGAAGTATGGCTTACTGAGCGTATACTTTATGGCGGGTAGATAAACTTGCAGGGAAATTCGTGCAACAAAATGAGTTGATTATAGTCAAACGGATCAGGGGAACTTGTAGAACTGTCGAGCGCTGTTATCCCGGTTGATGATAGTTGGGATTTGAAGGGAATGTTATTCGAAGGGGAGATATATAAATGGATATTGTTTCTTATTTAACATAAGATTTCTGGCAGTCTGTAAAAGGGAAATAAATGGCACCAATGCCACTTGATTGCTGGCAGATACAAGCTCAGGAAATTCCCTAAAAAGTTAGTTTTTGCACGTTCCAAAGAACTGCCCTTAAAAAAGACATTAACTGCACTTTGTCATAGCAAAACCTTCATATGATAAAAGTATCTCACAAAAGTATCGCCTGAATGCCATTAAAAATTAGCCTCACTGGAGGCTCTCGCCCTCTCTTTGCTGTGTAGAATTATAGTTGCTGCCCCACACCGAAGCATCCACAAAATCCCAATTCTAAAGTTGTAAAGTTCAATTTCTTTGACAAATTTCGTGTCTAAACACAGACATACAATATTTCCCTCTTGAAGCCCCATCAATGGCTGGCACTGGCATCGTTTTCCATTAAATTAACACGCTCGAATGTGCCTTCACAGCGTC